ATTCATTTGTACGATTCTAAACACGACATTTATCTTCCCAGCAACTTGAACAACAAACCGTCCTGTTTTTTTTTATTTTTTCGTTACTGGTGTGAATATTAATGCTTGTTAAGCGGCACAATGTGTCGGACACTCGAAATTTGTTGATTTTGATTGATGATCATTTGTTCAATTTGTCAAGGCAACATTATCTTATTTATTTTATTTTTTTCAAAAAAAAAACATTAAAACATAGAAATGTGATGGTTCGAATATTCTAATTTAATTTATTACTAGTTATAATGAATTATTGCAAGGGTCGGCATCCTTTTTGAATCAAAGAGTCATTTCTAAGATATGGTCTGTAGCGGTGGCAATCTCAAGCCCGATAACCATAATCCCGACAATCAAAATCCCGACAGTGTCTTTTATTATTATAAATTTCTACAATAATATTTTTATGGTTGTCGGGATTTCGATATAATCGGGATTTTGATTGTCGGGATTATGGTAGTCGGCATTTTGGCATAGTCGGGATTTCAAGCGTTGGGACTTTAATACAGTCGGGATTTCGATACAGTCGGGATTTCGAACGTCGGGAATTCAATAGACGGTTTTTCGGTTGTCGGGCTTACGAATATCATTTTTGTGAATAAAATGAACTGTTGCTCAAAAGAACCGAAATCAGCTCCATTGCCATATGTTATTAACCCCTGAACTAGGGGTTTGACATATGATATTATCCTATTCTGACTTACAAAATCACTGACATTTATTGAGCTACAAACAACATAACGAAAATTGCAAAAATGCGTACTATTTTACTGAAAACACGAATAGTGTGAAACATTAGGTCAGCCTTTTGGTTTTACGACTCAAGAAATTCGTTTGTAGTTCTACTGCGATCCAATTGTTAGGACTAATTCAATAATTACTCGCTTTGACACAAGGTGACAGCTGTCATTTCGCAACCTATTAAAAATTTAGGTACTAATTGATACTAGTTCTTATATTTCCCATGGTTCTGGATAAAATATCCAAATTTAATGTAATCTGATCTAACCTTATTCTACTAAGCGTAACTTAACCTAATTATTCCAAAGTTAATATAGAATAGAGATTTGACATGTGAAACTATTACATTTTAACAAAGAAACTTACTAACATTTTCATTTATTAATCAATAACAAACTGATATTAAAAACTGAAGATTCATCATCAGCGCGTGACATTCAACAATTTGGTAAGTATAACAACAAAGTGTACACATTTTTGGATTACATATAGGAATTAGCGTATTAAATGAAGAAAATCACATAAGAAATTGTGAGATTCTATGCTTTATATTTCCCCAATGTGGTTATAAACTCATAATTTTATATAATCCAACCTAATATAACCTTCTTACAGAACTTAACCTAACTTATCCATAGTTAGGATAGAATAGCGGTTGGACATGTAAAGGGTGAAAAATCACCTACTGAAAATTGAATTTTATGGGCTTTATCCGAATACTATTTTCAGTTTTAACGTATACTTTGCTTATACCTCGCATAGTGGGGCTTGGAACAGTCCGAATTTACTAGAGTCCGGATTGAAAATTTCAAAACAAACTAAACCATTTTTTTACATGAATTATCATGTTTTTTTGTTAAGCCCTTGGTTAATCTGATTTCAAACAGTACGAGATATAATACGGAATATTGATGGAACCGATTAACCGCACTATGCGTCGTATTACTAAAACTATAAAGAAATTTGAACGAAATAAAAAGTATAGAATATAGGAAAAACTAAGTTATTGGAAGGACTTTGCGAGCAAAGTTTTCTCTTTATTTGTTTATTCCGATATGTATACACTTCACATGCAGCATAAATAAGAAAGATAGTATTGATTTATTCCCAAAGTTTTTCTTATGGCTTACTAGTCGAGTGTAACAGACCAGAGGGAGTGACGAAACGGCGCTGCTTTCATAGGAATTTCGGCTCATTAAATCCCCTATATAAGATTTATTAACTCCACTAGTTTTTTTTCCATTTTTCAAATCCCAAAATCACAATAAATTAACTAAGTAAATTACATTTAATTGACATCATTTAAGTAAATCAGAAACTACTATTTTTTTTGATGTAATTTATTAGATTTATGTAAAAATTTCCAATTAGTTTCTTTTTTTCGTTCGCAAGGATACTTCAGAATGGTTTTAATTTGAAAATGCTTTTTTGTTGTTGTAGTTGTATTTTCGCTTTGTTCGAATGTACGTCAATTATCGGAGAAAACTGTTAAATATTGTACGTTCAGTCTGCGTTCGTTCGTTGGGTTGAGATTCTTTTTTTTTGTTTCGTCTATGAAAGGTTTCGTGTATCGCGTTTAATTAAAGCCTTCAGCTGGTCATCACCGATAGCTGCCTGTCTGATGCTTACAACGTTTCCGAGCAACATATCGACGCACTGTATTTTGTTGTCTATCGAAAATGAGATTTTTTTTTGTAATAAGTCCGAAAATATCACGAAAGACAAAGCATTTTATTTAATGTTACTCATTGCCAAAAATATTTCATTTTGAAAGATAACATAAATAATACAATTAAATACATTGGAAATTTCGAATAACACGTTTCAAATTACACTGTCAATAATGGTCACAACCCTTGTATAAAACACATAGTATTTAACTTATGCATTGTCTCGAATAACACGATGAAACAAATTGACAACCCTCGTATAAAACGGTACTTCAATTACACGGTTTTTAAAATATACTTTTTTTTACAACTCTTGCTTTTCACCGTTCAGCAGAATATTGTATACTGACAAACATGTGTGTAATGTATAGCAGTTGTAACATCTCTTTTATAACACGGTACTTGAATAACACAAGGTCTCGAATAACACGATAAAAAAATGACAATCCTTGTGGTACTTTAATTACACGGTTTTTAAAGTTTTTTTTTTTCAAATCTTGTATTTTGTATCTTAAGAACATATGTATAGTGTAGACCAGTGATCTCATACTCAAATTGCATGATCTGAGCGCAGCTGATGGACAGGATTTTGAAGACATCTCTATGTCTCTAAACCTATAAGTACCGTATTTCCACCATATACATAATTGAAATGTATCTGCGAGCCGTGTAAAACTATTTTGAGGGCCAGATTCGGCCCGCGGGCCACCTATTTGAAAAAAGGTGTAGAGTGTATAACAATTTTCTGGAGTATCGAATAACAGGATTTTGATAAGCACTGAACCAATTAACAGTGCTTAAGGGTTGAATTAGAAAGAAAATATCTTGATTCAATTATTTATTTTAATACAAATTTGTTTGAATTACGCTAATGATATTTACACAATTTAATTAAAATTTAATTTAAAAATATTAATTTGATGTATAAAACTAAATTTTAATGATCTTTTACGTAACTATAAATTAGTCTCAAACTCAAATTGCATGCAGGCAGAATACATGATGTGAAAGTAGCTGACCGTTCGGATTTTTTTTAAGCTTAGTATACATTAGATTAACACCAAATATATAATTGAAATGTATCTGCGGGCCATATTAAGAGGGCCAAATATGGCCCGCGGGCCGCCGATTTGAGGCGGTGTAAAATAAATAAAGGATACGTTCCATATTTTTTTAAAACCGCATAAAACTAAATCAATGAGTTACAATATACCGAAAATCGTATAAAAAAGGGTTTATTAAATTTCAGAAAAATAATTACTCTTACTATATTCTTTCTGAAATGTATATTCATAATGTTATAAAAACGTTAACAATCATAGACAAATTTATTAAATTTCAGAAAAATATAATCTTAACATATTGCTTCTAAATTTATACGGAAAAATTTTACAAAAAAATACAGAAATTTTTTATGAAAGTTAATCTTTCTTCACATTTTTTTCTTTAGAATTATCGTCGCTATATGAGAGTGTTCGGCATAATTTGCGAATTGGTTCGAAATCACTTTCATCACTAGAAGAGATAGTCAGCATAAAAAATGCTTCTTGAAATAAAAACCGCTTAACTTCAAAACCGCATAAAAAGAGTGTATAATAAACTATATAGTATTGAATAACTCAATTTGAAGAACACGGTACTAATTAACCGGTTTATTCAAGGGTTGACTTACACATAAAATATCTTGATTTCTTTATTTATTTTATACTTGGAGTTTACTATAAATTAGTTTAAATAACTAATTGAAACTTATACAAATCAACTGAAACTTAATTAAAACTATTAATTTGTTGTATAAAACTATTAGTTTTGTACAAAAACTAAGCTTTAGTTTATACAAAAAGCAATTACAATTAATTAATTAATTTAGATATAAAAATTTGATATTTCATCTTAATTTTACAGATAAGTAAATAATTAATGGATTTTGGAAAGTTTTTTTTTTGAGATGTGCAATTAAAGAATCATTAATAGAATAACAATTATAGTGTGTTATCCTGAAATGGGAACACGCGAAGAAATGGATGAGACTTGTAAAGCTTGTAATTATCCTTTGTGCAATTAATGTTGTTAGCGTATGGATTTTCGCGATGGATTAATGCTTTCGGAATGGACGTGAGAAGAAGTCCGGAGATGCATTAAATTATCATTATGTAAAGGCCCGGCGATGGTTAAAATGGTACAACGAGTGCTTAACACTCTCTCTCCTTCTCTCTTCACTTCTTTCCTCTCTTCTCTTGTCTCCATCATCGGGGCGCTCGTCTTTCTTCTGGGATCAGGATGTTCGGATCCTCGATAAGAATCTACCACTTGTTTTCAACGGACGCGTCATCATCGTCATTATCACCGAAGGAACAGAGCCCATTTCTCATAGCCCGTGTACAACAAAAGGATGGTTCCGAGAGTGACAACTTCGCGGGACCTTTAGGTCCTCCACCTCCTTCCTTCTCCTCCTTTACCACGGACGGCTTCATCCTTCTCCTACTTCTTCGGCAACGAACTACGCTTGCGTTCCGAACGCGCTCCAAAACCAAAAACCAGTCTCACGTGCGCCGCCGTGTCGTTAGCATCCAACAAGACCAGAACCATCTACGACGACCTACGGTTACGTTCATTGGATCGCGTGTGCTATTCGCATATTTTGTTTTATTTTTTGGGACATCTCATTGGATTTTGTTCACCCCGTTCTTCCTGCCTTTGTAATTTACTATTTGGATACGACTTAAATGAATATTCGTAAGTACTCATCCAATATTACATTTCTACAGTTCTTGATAGAACAACAATTATCAATATAAACTAATCAAAACATCAGACTTATAAAATTCCAATTAAATACACAAATTCAAATTTAATTAATACACATTACAAGTAAACTTAAACTTAAATATTAGTTACAAACCAAAAACATTCGGTAATTATATTACTTTATATGAATTTTTAGAGCATTAATCAGTATTATAAAACGAAGTAATTATTATTAGTTCAAGCTTTAATCATAAATTAATTAGCAAATTAAATTATTTATATTAATAATAAAATTTTCCAAAATTAAAATCACTTAATTTCTTCAAGATCAACAAAATTAAGAGTCTTAATGATATTTTCTTCCATTGAAAACATTTAATCATGTTTTTTTTTATACTAATTATGCTATTAAGTTCTTCATTTCTTGAGGATCAACAGAACTGAAAGCACTTGAGTTGACAGTTTTATTCAATTTGTTTGTTGTTTAAACTGAAGATTGAATTGTTACGATATTGGAAGCTTTATTTGTTAATAAATAAACAATAAATTCAAGGAATTGTTGAATTAAGCGAAATGTCCTTTGTCGTCGATGTGGGAAAGATGTAGCAAATGATTTGCACGTTCGTGAAACGATTTTTATTTGCTTTGTAAAAACGTCGATGTTTCCAATAAAAAAGTAAATATTGTTGTGTTTGCTCAGTGAAATCCACTTCGAATCGAATGAAGGCTTATTTGTTTACCGAATTTAAAACTGACTGTTCTAAATTATGTTTCAATTATGTTGTTATTTTTTGTTGCCATTATTTGCAAATAATCAATGATAATAATTTAAATATTTGGTTTAATTATACAAAATTATTTAATATTAATGTTATATAAACTGATAGGTTCCGCCAATTATTTGAAACTGTATAAACAGAATAAAAAGATTTATTTATGTGTACAAATTATGTACTCATTTCTAAGAATAAGTATAGATTCTTTTGTTTAAACCGGAATGTAGTGAATCCGGACTGATCGAAACCGGATTTTGCTGTATTTTATTAAATTTTTCTCATATTGATTTATAAATTTCCATAGGAATATACATGTTAATTGTCTTTTTTGCTGTCATTATTTGCAAATATTCAATGAAAATTATTTAAATTTTTGTATAATTATTCAAAATTATTTAATATAAGTTTGAAACCGGACTAATCGAGGACTTTAAAACCGCACAAAAAGAGACTTGACTGTATAATCAAAAAAAATGATATTCTTAGATTCTTTTGTTCAAACCGGACTATAATGAATCCGGACTAATCGAAACCGAATTATGCTTTATTTTATTAAATTTAATTTTGCTTTATAAATTTCCATATTGTAAAATTTAAATCTTTTTGTTAAGTTTTATTGAGCAGTTAAATTTGCATTTGCTTATTGGAAATTTTCTTTAAAAATCTTTATTAGCAAATAATCATTTATGTATTAATGTTAACTAAAGTAAAATAAGCTTAAGTCATCAATCAACTCTTATTTAATTACGTTTTTCTCGTCCTGTCTTAAAATTTCATTCAATTTCATCAAAAAGGATCTAAATGCAATTTAGCGGATCCCAACGAAAACGAGTTCCTTTTTCGTTCTTCCTTATTTGCTCAAGCAAACTCCCAGGACTCGGTGATTAATTGCCACGCATAATCTCATTTATTGAACCTAATTCGTCCCCCTTCTTCATTTATTTTTATTATTTTATTTTCTCGTTCCATCTAATTAATGTTTCCTTTTCCTCGCAAACAATGCACAGCGATATAAACTCGGTAGTAGTGATTCAATTATCGAATCGACTGGCGTCAAATAAACATACTTGATACGCATCCTCCCAACTCCCAATTAGACTTTAATCCGTTAACAGAGGTACTCCCATCATCATCCTGTTAAACCTTTAAGTCGTAGTTATTATTTTTTTTGTGGATGCGCTTAAAAATTCAATTATAAAATTAAATTAAATAAATATTTATAGAATAGAAACAAGTTACGTAAGACGTGTTGTAAACATCGGAATGCAATTAGTGTACTACCATTATTATTATAATAATACTTTCATTTTTTTCTTAAAGGACTTTTAGTAGGATTCTATTTAATCATCCATGATTTTTTTTCAACAATTTCTTACGTAATCTAACGGCGATTTGTGGAAACCGAATAATTTAAACGTTATTATTAAAAATTATGTTTTGTTTAGGAAATCTAAATATGGTTTGATGGTAATTAAATTTTATTATAGTTGAATTGATTATATCTTTATGTTTCTGGAGAAAAGCAGATTTAATGAATATGAAATTCAATTAATGTTTATGTCGCCGCTAAATCGTAAAATAATTAGTTATTTCATGGAGTATCTATTACAAATAGTTAAAATATGAGATATTTTATACTTTATATTGTTATTCTGTATAAGTTTTTTTTATGTCGTATAACTTTTTATTCACAATCTGTTTATGAATGTGAACATTGAATAAATTTAAGATCGCGGTTGACATTACATGGATAATCTTTCCTGGTGGATTTACTATTATGACGATTTAATTATTGGTTGACTGTGGTCTTGTAGGTTAACTTCAGTAGTATATTGATGCTCTGCGATTTCACTATTTCCTTTGAATCTGCTGCTATCCTTAACATCGACTTCGCTGAACTTCATTCATTTGACTGGTGACGATGGCCCTTTTGCTGCAAGCACCGAGAGGGCTCTCAAAGGGCCAGGATTTTTTTTTTATCTGAATATGGTCTATATTATAATTAAATGAAAAAATATGCAGGGCCCTCTTATCCATACGTCACATTAAGCACATAATATGGGGCCCACGGCAATTTTTTTTGAGACCCACAAAAAAAAAATTAGAAATCAAGAATACACATTTAATTGTTAGGTAAAAGATGTACTGCACCGACTTCTGGTCTGGTATCTAGGGCCCACGGCAACCGTAATGCGGCACTGATAAGAAGGAAAAAATTGTGCAAAGTTGGTTGTGTTGTATAATGAAGCTTAATCAAAAACTTCGACCACTACTTGTGTAAAGGATATGGCGGATATATCCGACGCTCGTCTGACAACTTTATAATTATATAAATTTCTTATAAGTTGACTACCAATATTTTATGAAATATGACAGAAACAAACAAAAATACATTAATGATAATATTAACTTATAAAAGAATGTAATTTTATTTGCTTTGTGTATGTCCTGGATGAAGGATCAGAATCAATTATAATTATTTCGTTTATTCTCGTTTCTGTCCGCTTCGCTGTGTGTGTTTTCTCGTCTTGCAGATGTGTAATTACTAGAGACATATAAAACCTTAATTGCATGCAATTTTCGTCATTTTGACTGGGAATTAAATCACGCGAATGCCGCACTTATTATCATTATTCCACGCAGTTTACCAAGAAAGGAAACAAATTGATTTGATAATCAGACTCAGATGTTGTTGTTATTAACGTCTGCAAATCTACATTATTATTTCTTACTTTTTTTTTCTCTCGTTGTTGCAAAACCTGCATTATTATGAAGCTTTTGAATCACATTTATTGCATCTTTATTCTACCCTAATAAATCGCAATTTTCTACCTTATGCCGATGCTTGACGAGAGAGCAAGCCAACAAAGGGCTTATCGAGGGTCCTCTCCGACGGGTTTTCAAAAGCCAATTTTCTCTTTCTCTCTTTCTCCAAGTACGTTACTTTCTTACAGGACATTCTACCATTACAATCGAAGCCCTTATTCATTTATTTTAGTTTTTGTTTGATTTATTTCGAGTTGAAGCATTTGTGTTTTCATATTCACCCCCCGTGTCCAAACTAGTTCGAGAACACGGTGCATAATTCACGCGCATTCATTATTTCGAATCCGATTGGGTTTGTGCAAATTTCGCGTGTAATTAATATTGAATTATATAAATTGAGCGGCGCGCCGTGACACGTATGCATTTGCATACATGCAAAATTATTATTTATTAAAAAAAAATGTACAAATGTGACGTGAATTCTATACATTTGCGCTCTCATTTTTTTAAATAATAACACAGATTTTAACACTAGAATTTTAACATGGTTTAAAAACGAAAAAATGATTTTTATTATGAAACTATTGACTGATATATTTGAAAATTTCTCATCGCAGTTTCACGTTTAAAGTATTTTTATCACGTAATTTGCACGTGACTTTCATTTCAAATAAAGTGGTTTGTTTTATTGAAGGTTATATTGAACTTTTTAATTGTATCTTTAGTAATATTTTGTAAACTTATGGTGGTTTGCTTTGTATAATTATGTCAAAGTTTTTATTATGTCTTAGTTGGAAATAAAATATGAAGAATTAAAAAGCTATGTGCATATATGCTCTACTTTTGTATATATTTTGCCGCAGTTTTTCTTAAAAAAAAAGTATCAGAGAAACGAAGGAGAATTTTTAAATAAATACTGATTTTAATTATTGGAAATTGATTGAATGAGTGATGAGTATTTCAATCATTTGTTTACTTTTAAATAATGTGCCCTGTTTTAACAAACATTCAAAGGCGAATTTTTAATTAGAAAATAACAATTACAATTTTGTTCTACCAAAAGAAAATAACATAGAATTGAAATTAAATATTGACTTTTATTGGTAGAAAATTGAAATAGTAAAAAAATTATGATTTTGTAAATTTTAAATACAGAAAATTTCAAATACCTCGTATAGGCTTCGATCAGTCCGGTTTGAACATTTCTAAATCAACTAATTTTTCATTAACATAAAAATAAATTCTATTTCCCTTTTCCCTAATTCCCTTTTGAAAGTACTCAATTAGTCCGGTTTAAAAAGTCCGGGATATTGGCGGAACCTATTACCCGCACTATGCGAGATAATATTACAGTAATTTTGTTTTCATAAAATTTCATAGAAGATATCGACTTATATAATTGGGATTAAAAAAAACAAATAAATAAATTAACATGAATTATCTACA